CCGCTTCGAAAATGTTTATTTAATAACGACGGAAGATAAAAACTTTTAACTTAAACTAACGATTATTATTATTATTATTATTATTATTATTATTATTTGCGAAAGCTAAGGTTAAAGGTCATAATTAAAAATTTACATCGTTTTATTAGACGTTATCGATCCCTAAAATGTTTGGATTTTATTAAAGAAATTTTTTTTTTTTTAAAGAAAGGAAAATGTCGGTTTTACGTAAAAAAGATTAAGTTGTTATTATTATTATCGTGTGCGTGTGCGTGTGAGTGTGAATGAAAATGTTTATTAATTTTAATTGGCTCCTTTTTTTATATAAAAAAGAATTATCCCGGGGGGAAGGAAGGGAGGGGAGAAGGTGGAGATTTAAATGTTTGTAATAAATGATTACGTAAAAAAATTTCTCGTAATATAAAGACGGTACAAATCTCTTTTTTATAAGGGGTGGTAATGGTGGTAATAAATTACAAAAAATTACGTGGTAATTTAAAGAGAGTAACTACTACCGATTAAACGTATAAAATAGATCCGGCAATTTAACATTTCCGTAAAGAGAATTTTCCAAAACAAGGCAAGGAAAAAAAAAAAAAATCTTTCTCTTAACAAGGTTCATTATCTAATTTGACCGCATTAGAGAGAGAGAAAATTTCCCCATCCAGATTTTTCCTTTTTTTACCCGGCCATCATCCCACCCCCACTCTCTCTCTATCTCTTTCCTTTTTTCCTTTTCTTTTATACCATTTCCTATTCTACTTTTCCCGTCGTTCGTCATCGTCGTCGTCGTTTTTCTTTTTTTTTTTTTTTAATAATTTATAATTGGCAAAAGTACTTTACAATGCATCAATTTATATATATTTCTCTTCACTTACTCTCTCTCTCTCTCTTTTTTCCGACAATGCTTATTTAAATAATAATAATAATAAAAATTTAAAACTTTTTTTTTTTATTTAATAATAAATGGAAAAATTTTTTCGGGAAAAAAGGGTTGTTTTTTAAAAAAAAATTATATTATTCGATTGTCGAGTTTTCTCACAAATTGGCAACAAATGTAAGGAAAAAAAAGGGGGAGGAGGAGGAGGGGTAGGAGAAGGAGAAGGAGGAGGAAGGATAAAAATGGAGGAACAAACCCGTTACACAATCGATTCCATTGTGTATAAGTACAATGTATCTAATCGGATGTCACCCTCAACCCCTGGGGCTAAATTCTGGCTCCATCAATTAGCTATAACGTTTTTTAAAAAAAAAAAAAAAAAAAACCTTTTCATGTAAAAAAGCTTTTATTGTTGCCGCCGACGGTTTTTTAAAAAATATATACATCAAAGGGAAAATTTTTTTTTTTTTAAATTATAATAATAATAATAAATAAAATTTTTGTTGTTGTTGCAAATTTTTAGGTTTGGTTTCAAAACAGAAGAGCAAAATGGAGAAAAAGAGAAAAAGCATTAGGAAGAGAAACGGTCGGTTTCATACAACACGAACATCCATCTATGCCTGATTTTGGTGTACACGCAGCCGCAGCAGCAGCAGCAGCAGCAGCTCAATTAGGTTTTCCACCATTACCCGCTGATCCATTTTGGCCTGGTTCCGCATTGGGTTTTAATTCAGGTATTTTCGGTTTGCCTCCGAATGCTGCAACCGCTGCTGCCGCACTCGGTTTGCCTTGGACAACAAACAATGGAAAAATTCCAAATCCTTCTTTTCACAACATATTATCACAATATATGTTGGCAAATGGCGGATTGGCATTGCCTCCAGGATTATCCCTCAGCGGATTTCATATTCCGACACATTCTCCCGCAATGACTTCATCTAAATCTCACAGGTAAAAAAATTTCTTTCTTTAACGCCCTCCACCTCCCTCCTCAACGAATCATCATTTTACTTATATTCGTTTTATCACGTTTAGCAACAGCGATTCTTCCGTCGAACCCGATTACGATTTAGCAAATTCTGATGCATCTCGCAGTCCGCCACCTCCCTCGTCGACACCGCCATCATCTGCCGCTGTTGAAAATAGAATGAACAGCATAGAAGCACTTCGTTTGAGAGCTAAAGAACACGTTTTAGAACAAAATCATCAACGACTTTTACAACTTCCCTCATCGGTAACAAAATCTGCCACGGTAACAAGTTAAATGGAGGAATCAACGTCGCCGTCGCCGACAAGATACGAGACAATAAACAAATTTTTTTTGTGTTTTTTTTTTTTTTTTCATAAAAATTATTATTTTTTTAATGTAAAAAATTTTATTATTATTATTATTATTATTATTTAAGGGAGTATTAACCAGTTATTAATAATTTAATATTGTGCAATATAAGTGTTATTTTTAGATAAAATGTGTGTATATGCACGCACACACACACGAACACACACGCAAGCATTTTTAAATTTA